TGTCTCTCGCACTATTTGCCGGACTCTTACTCCGACCCTCTCTACCTCAAACCTAGCAGCCTGAGCGGCCGTGCATTTCCGTAACCGTCCGCTCCCGTTCGTGCATCCAGGTGCGTTTGCTGATTTCACGCGACCCCAAGGATCAGCACCTACGGTTGCGTTTCTCGATTTTACGCGTCCCGAAAAATCGACAGGATCCGTTAAGCTATCGCCTCGTCCGATAGGTTCCGTCAGAGCGCTCGTTCTTGGTGGAGTTGGGCCTGTTCCACCCCAACTCCCAGTTCATACCGGCTCGTCAGTTCCCGGTGAAGAAAGAATTGGCTGGCGCCCGCCTGGCTTGCGGATGCACGAACGACGGGTGGACGGCCGAAGGTAACGTAGGTTGCTTCTCGAAGATAGTCGTTCTCCTATGTTTTGCTATCGGTGTCGTGTCATAAGTTAAAGAATTACGTTACACTACCTTTGGCTGATATATAGTGTATAGTATATATGGTATATATATATATATGTACAAATAGAACTCCAAGAAGATAGGACTTGGAAAGAACCAGGAGCACGAGGACGAACCGAGGAAGGAAGTAAGGATGTCCGTTTACGTGGTGGGGGTTTGGGCGACGGTTGAAAATAGTACTAAAAATAGAAATAGAGTATGAGGGATCGATTTAGCCCACCTCCATGCCTTTTCTTCCACCTCATTCTTTCTCTTGATTTTCCAGAAGCATCTCCTTTCTAGTTTCGCCGACTTATAACTCCCAAGTTAAAGTCTCTAAGCCTTGTAACACCCCGAGATTTCTTATCTCCAGATAAAATTTCTAAAGGGTAACTTCTTCCCCTTTCGCTTAATATACATAAAGTTTCCTTTTGATTTTCAAACTCAAAATCATTTTCCCGCCGTTGAACATTAATGCCTCACGCTTCACTTCGTTTGATCTGTTGATACAGCTTGGCGGGAGATTCGAACGTGCCATGGTCACGTAGGGTGAAACGGGGGAGAGACGAGAGGAAAAAAAAGAAAAAAATTTACCGACCAATCAGAGCGTCTTGTTTCGAAATCGAGCCGAGCGCCAATTTGTCCTCACTGTCCTGGGACTGAATGCAACGCAGATTGCACATTATGTTACGTCATTGGACGCCGTGCAATTTGTATGACAAACGCTAGGCTAATTAGGCTATGCGGAAGCTACGAGAAAATTACAGTAAATCTTCCACCCTCGTACAGTAAATTCCAGCCTAAGCGCAGGAGCAGAAATATACAAGCTTTATGGCGCAATATCATGCCATTACGTGCACCTGGTTTTTTGCACGTAGAAAATCGTCCATCGATCATACTCGGTCGGTATTGTTATCTAGAGGTGAGTACTTGCAATAGATAAGGAAAAGGCCATGCGGCTGTTCCTCTTGTAATTCATAACCTTGAGACAGTCCCATAGAATCTGTATTAAAGCTGAGATCTGTATGGGGAGGAGAAAATACCTTCTGGTAATTAAACGATTAATTATTCCACAGCTAGAGACTGTTAATTATTTTACAGGAGAGAGATAGTCAAGGTTAAAGGACCTATTGTGAATTAGATATTCAGGCAAATTTCAATTAAAATTATGACAAAGCAAGTTTTCTTTCAATGTGAAACTGAGATTTTTGGTAACAAAAGAGTTATTCGTTTTTACGTCTGAACAAGGAATAAATACTTTTTTTTTTGTGTGTAATAGCGCTACAGTGTTGTTCAGTGAACTTCTGATGAGTTACATAAAGGTGTTATTTATCTGTGCAAAGAGGATACTCGTAGGTGCCGTTTAATATAGTAGGTGATGGCGACCCTGTTAGCTCGACTATGATACTAATTACGTTACACCTCACATACCTTTGCAGTGTGACTCCTATAATTTCTATTGGCTGTACAGTATAGCCATCTGTTAGATACCCGACGTATTTAGAAATTGCCTTCAGCGTAATTACAGGCGCTCTAAATTGCACAGACGTTTGCACTTAGAGTCCTGAACCAGGAGTCAAATCAGGGCTGAAATACGTAAGCGAAGAAGTAAGGCGGAACTCGAAAAATTTAGTTACATATTTGAGTATGGTTTTTCCTTAATCCATCCTGAAGGGTCGCTAGGTAGAAAATTCAATGGAGCCACCCTCCGCTGATCCAAGAGTTTCTTCGAGGACAAGGAAGAGACAGGGTTCAAGGATGAAAGTATAATCCGGTCTTGTCTCAAGGACCTGGAGCATAGCATTGTGTCCAGAGATGACGCGTTACTTAGATTAGATATACGAACGAGCGTCTAGGATCTGTCAATTGTCTTAGGTTGGACGAGACATTTTTGGCGCCACGGGCTTGTCATAGGAAATTTCCATCGTGGCAATTGTCGACGACTATCTTAAGCTATTTCGAGAATTTACTTCGTGAGCTCCTCGTAAACCTGGTAATAGAGGTTAGGGTTCACTTAAAGTTTAGCCCTGAGCCACAAACCTTAAATGTGACCATCCCCGACGTCTCATCAAGTTGCGAGGGCAAAGTCGACTTTATAGTTGTTAGGTTAGGATAGGCATACTTTATCTCTTCACTTTACGTCTAAATACAGAGAGGGCTGGTACTTAGCTACTCACCAGGAAGTGGGACGACCTGAACTGTATAACCGGTTACTTGGAACACTTGGTACGACCGTAATGAATAATAAAGTATAACGTATCTTTACCGAGAGACGCCTGACAGAATTCATTGTGTCTCTGGTTGTTTTCAAATAGGCTGGAGTCGAGGTTGGGTTAGACTCTAGATATACTGTTCCAATCTTCAAGATCATTGTATCCTTTTCCTAATACACCTCACTGAATAGATACTGGAACATCCACTCAACACTTGACGATCAATTTGAAAACGCCATAATCGTTCACGCCATAGCATTCTTTACCGCTCTGTACCCCGAACGTCGAGTACCGTTTCTGTCCACTTACTCTGGCGTCGCCACGATCGACACTTACCGCCTCGAACCCAGCGATTATCGATAATTCTGTTAGCTTCCACGAGACGTCGCAAGTGACTTACCAGTTGGATAAATCAGGATGGTTGGTCTTTTTGATTGCGGAACGGTTGGTACGGTTGGTCGACCTGCCCTAACCTCCACAGACATTGTAAGTCAGTACATCTGTAACAGAAGAATTTAACCTCATTAAATTTATCCACAATAGACTTTCGAGTTATTACCAAAAAAATTACGATTTTCAAATTCCCAGGGATCCGTATTGCTTTTTCTCTTTATTTCAGTGCCCAATTTTTTGTACCACTTACAGCTATGTATATTCGCATCTTATCTACTTCCTTCTGGCACAACTCCTGCGTACTGTGTACAAAGGTAAAATATTTTACGTTAATACATATATACCGATATTACCCTCGTTCCCGTTCGCTGGTCCATGAAAGATTCTCTTTCGATTGCTTCATACTGCTTTCCCAAGGACACTTTGGCGAGAAAGTATAACTTTTTCTATTCCAAACAAAAGCAGCATCCTATCCCACCGTGCATATATGTATATAAAAGTTTCATGTACTACTAGGATATATGTTAAAATGTACAAGAGAGCATCTGCTGTTCATGTACTTAAAAATTTCCCGTCTGACACATAGTATACAAAAAGTGGTATGTAGTTTGTTAAATCCAATAGCATATGGAAGTTTTAACAATTGTTGGAAATTCTATTGAAGGGTTTTGAATGGCAACTTCAATGGAAACTCCACTTTCCAATTTATCCATGATACCGATATACGTGCTGTAAAAGCATGTAATTTGGTGGTTACCTGTAAACGGGAATAAGTACATACTCAAGCAATAGTTCATCATCAATTTGACATTTGGATCTTGTCAGGGATGTATCTTTATGAATTTTCTCCCGTTTCTCGTTCGGTTCGTTAAAGCGTGAGTAATTGGATTTCGTAATTGGAGAAGGTCTAGTAGCGAACGACCGGAAGTGACGTGATTATACTGTATACGTATATCAAGAAAAAGAAGAAGATAACAGTAGAAAGTAAAGCAAATAAATGCGTCATGTGTCATATATTTTGTTCAACAATTTTTTTTGACCTTTGCAATAAATTTTATACGGACCAATATTCATGGTTCGGTGACCATATTGGATATGGCCCAATTACCATTTTATAAGCGCGGCAAATTTGAAAATCGATAATTTAACATTACACATTTATCCCCTGCAGAGAATTCGGGTATTCCGCTCTTTCTCATATGTGAAGAAAAAATTAATGTACGAAATTGCGTTAACGGTATAGTTTTTAGATTCATTTCTTTTCGTGTAATTTTATTCACAGTAATTTATTTATTTTAACGAGATACTGTTTAATTAAGACTGAAGTTATCCTTGCGTTACTTAATCCATATTCATATGGAACCACGTGTGTGCTACTTACGTATGTCAAACATGTATACATACACCCTCAGAAAGTTTGTCAAATTTTAAATGAATTCCAGCGCTAATTCCAGCATCTGTCTGAAATCTGTATTATTTCTCACAACAACCCCAGCCCGTGCCTTCCTCTTCGGCTTCCTGAGAATGGCGTGCCGATAATTCCATCAAGTCCCTCAGGATTGGAAAGAAGCTAGCAGATATAGTTAAACCGGCTAAAACGGCTAACACAGTGGCTCCTCCATTGGCTTAGGGAGTAGATATTGCCATAGTAAATCAACGTGGCAGAAACGACATGCTATTCCAATATTAGATCTTGACGTACGGGAGATTCGACCTTAACGGCTAATGGTCAGGAGCGAAGTGAAGAGGAAGAGGAAGTGAGTGATTGGAAAAAAAAACAAGTATAAGAAAAAGCATATAGCAGGTAAGAGATACCCACAAGGGTGTTTGCAGTACATCCTTATAGAAATAACGATGACCGATGAATCCTGCTTTATATCCCATACGTGATTTATAGATGGAGGACGTGTGACGATAAAGAGGATTTTATGAAATTTCTAATTTTTTTTTTTATCAATCGACCTACCGACTGATCACGAATTTCAAGATTGATTGGCAATCGATCTATTAGGTAAATTGTCAACTGTCGTTATTGGCATGTAAAATTGATAACTGTGACGGTGGAGGTATTAAACAAAAAATGCTACCCTTATCACAGCTAAGGGCCGAAACGTGGGTAAAGTAAATGTGCGGGGATGAGCTTTGCTTTTGGTGGTAAAATTAGGGGGTCTATTTTGGGCATTTACTACCCTTCAGATTCTCGTTATACTACCCCTGCTTTCCGCTTCGTTTATCGTAGTACAGTCTATCTCAGTGGATAGTCTATGGTAGAGGTAGTCTCTATGGTATACGGCAGTGGAAGTTCGATAACTCGAACTGCTGAAAGTGAAAAATTTCTAAGACTTGCGAATCTCCGAATTTTCTTAACGTTTCGGTTTCGTAACTCGAACATCCCGATAGGCCGAAATAACGATAACTCGAAGTATTTCTTGATTTCCCTTGACATTTGAGTTACCGAACTTTCACTATATACAAGGACCTTCGTAATTATATATATTACATATATTTTGCGAAATAATATATTTTTATCACTTCGCGAAGCTCTCGATTACAGAGGAGAGAAAAAGGTTCTAGAACTTTATTACGTAACGTGCGGGCGTACACCGAACATTAATTATTTACTCGAATGTCACCAGAGCGCTCTATCTTTCGTTTCTTGCGAATTATTCCGGGACTATTTTTTTTAATTACTTCCTCACGGACGCCCCCAAAGGACTTAACCAAATTACCAGAAGATTCTCATTTCCAGGATGTTATTGCACGTTGGACCTTCGGATTCTGGTTTTACGCTCTGTGACGTCACCGGAATTCTCATTGGTATTCAGACCGAAGGCAGATTCGTCTGTTCGTCTTCCTATAAGATTCTCCTGCGGAAGATCAAATTTCATATCGAAGAATTCCAAATTTTCTGCAACGCCTTGAGGTTCGATCGGAATATGCAAGGTATACGCGTACTTGTAGGTTTTCGAGGAAATTGAAACCGTGTACTTGAATTTTCATAGTAAGAAACCCATACCTAATTATAAGGGTGGGTCGGTTATTACCACAAGGCCCATAACGATTATCTGGCTGCGCTGCCAATTATGCGAAAGTTTACAGAGTTCATTGTGTCGGAGGCAACAACATCATCAACCTCTACCACCGCTACACCCTGAAATTAATATTCTATCCCTATAGTGCAGATTTACATGGCATTTCAACCCTTAACACCTACCACGTAGGATTAATTAATTTCACAGTTGAATTACGATATTTAACGTTTATCGAAAGTTACGTAACTTTCACCCCTGTTCCTCAAGAGGACGTTATCTTTTTAGGGGGGTGACGCTTGGATTAATGAATTTCAAGGGAGAAGAAAAAAAAAATTTTATCGGACAAATCTGCAGAATTTTTTTTAAAGGTTGGACGTTAATCATTTATCCACGCTACAAGGATTCGCCACTCAGAAATTTCCCATCAGGAAAGAAACTCGAGTGTAATCAAGGGGACGGCCCGGGTGGGGGGAGGGTGTACATCAGAATAGGTAGATGTAATAAAAGAAACACATTTCCGTATTTCTCTCCAACTTCATTTATCCGAAGGGTTCGTTAAGGCTTTCGAGGGATGTAGCTACGCGTCATTCGGAAATTTTCGGCAATATTCCTGCCTTATGGTGCAGGCCCTGTCGTCAAACTTACGTCACGTTTAACCTCCGCCATTGACATTTCTAACCGAAAGTTACGTAATAAAATACGGAACGTACATAGATAACGGCGGAATACCAAATTAAATTAAATTAGTAAAGATTAATAAAGTTTATCCTTCCCCCCCCCCCTGCTTCCTCGAATTCCAGTCCTCTCCGGACATATATTCCATCATAAAATTTTATTTTATTCCCGTCATTCGACTTGCACGTTACGTTTCCCCAGTTGGACATTTGAATTTCCCGCCTAATGCTCGTGCACTTTCATAAACCTTCGTTTTATACCTTCCAGCTCTTTCCCTATCTCGCTCCTACTTCCCCTGCGCAAATTTACTCGGCATCAACACTGTCTCTAATTGCCATCTTTTCCTCGATCTCCAACAGAGAGCAGAAACGAAAATAAAACAAGAAAAAATACACACAAAAGAAGCCTTGGTTAGGTGCCTCTTGGTTAGTGCTGTCTGTAAGTTCTCATTCCCCACTGCTCGTCTGGTTTCTCAAGCAGCTTAATAAAACACCGCTTTCGATACTGCCCGTGCTGTAAAATGCCGTCCTGCCACCTCGATTTATTCCACTGTGAGCACGTACCGAGAGAAGAGTCTTAGAGCCGAGTAAAAAGCAGAGTGGATTTATCGCATCGGAGGTCAAATTGAAATTGAATATTTTCGCAAGGCAAAGAAGCACCGAGTATCCTACATTCGGATATACTCACTACTGAATTGCTTATGATGAGTTACCGAAGCATAATCAATATCTTTTTGTCATTAACGGCAGCCATATTGTCCCTGACTTGACAGGTCTATTACGAACTGCCAAGAGGTGATCGTCCTGCGCATGCGCGCCGCTCTATGCCGAGAAACTATGTGGCCGTTAACGGCTTCGGACAAATCGAGTTCGCGTTGTGCACGAGTGAACTGGGGAGTGCGCCGAGCAGTTAACACGCGGTAAACTCTTACGGACGAAAAGGACAAAATCTCTTTGTCATATCTGTAAGGCCGGTCAGTTGCCAATTTGAAATTCATGAGAGAACAAATTTGATCGTTAATTCATATTTGAATTACCCCCGTAATTCTACTAAAACTTCGAGAGCAAAGGTTCATCGTTTTTTCGTCTGTCACTTGCAATATTGTACCTACGAAAGATATCGGAAATAATATTAATTAAAGACGGATAAATAATACCGTGATACCGTAGAAATTTTTTTCTACATTTACCTACTCCTTCGTTTATGTATATTTTTTAATTTTTTTCAGCCCCGCAAAAGTGCATAAATTTTTCTCTGGCTTTTACACCGGGAACAGAGGAATGTTACGCAAGCTCCTGGTTAAGTATGAAAAATGTAGACATTCGTCTTCCAATACGAACGTGGAACTTGGCTCCGTGTGACATCCCTGGCCCTTTGTGGTTATACAGAAAATGTGCTACGTTAAGATAGTCGCACAATTCGTCATTTAGAGGTTACGTTCGAATGACATATATTTATCTACTCAAAGCAAGAAATTGATGACTGTTATATATTTATAGGGTAACTCAACGATTCCTGAAAAATCTTCCATGGCTCCATTCATTTCGCCAGACTCAGAAAAGTATTCAAAACCCGTCTGTATCGCAAAACTAAAGAAAGAAAATCCACTCTGCTCGGACTTCTACGTTAAATTATTCATACCGAAGTGAACTTACGTAACAGACATATATATTTTTATCTTATCCTCCTGGTCGTCTTCTCCACCGAGTGGATTCGTTATATATACACTTTGACATATCAAAACTATTTTGACCATAGACCGCGAAGCAAGCCGGAGTACCACAGCCTCATTCGTCCCAGATTTCAAACATGGCGGCAATTAAGAGAATAAAACCTGGCCAGAATACGTAGCGCGATAGTGGCGCCTCGTTATTTTTCATACACAAGAATTCTCGTCTCTACGTGTTAACGAGGGTAATCAAAATCAGCCGGATGCCATACACACGATGTATAATACAAACGAAGAATTAACATTGGATCAAGAGCGTCCGGCATTAAAGGATCGTTTGGATTTGAACCGTAAGGCGGGAACTTTGAAATTCAAATCGTTAAATGCAAAAAAACCCACCAAACTCACACGTTAACCTACTGCAATATATCTACTATCTACCAACTACTAACCACTAGCTACTATCTGTCACATAGTCTCCAGCTACTACCAGGAATCTAGCTACCAAATGGAAACTGCCGTAGTTTACTAGATTTATGAGCTTTATCGGTTACCTATGTATCCCGAGTGTAACTCCAATAGTTTCATTTAATGTAAAGTCTCGAGCACTGGCCACGCATGTATGACGTATGTGGTTCTTGGCTTTTGTGACATTTACCATGTAACAAACTTCGGCGTGAAACGTCACCATACCAGAATAGTGCATTAATAATTCAGAGGAAACTTCTCTCCAACGACAATCCTTCTATCCACGAGAAAATGCATCCTGTGAATCTGGACTTTGTGTATATGCACCTCAGTGGCAATTATATGCGTATATATAATTATATACTGAGCATACGGTGGATACGAATGCACAGAAGCATATGGAAGGATATAGGTAGAGTATAATAGAAAGAGAATATATATGTATATCGTCGGGTCTCTAGTGCATTTGGAAACTTTCACATACATAGACGCATTATACGCAGGAGTATGTACACTAGACTGGGCTATTGCAGCCAATGACCGTGCATTGATACGAGATACTACATAGATAGTATCATTGGATATGCTTGGAAGTGCTTTTTGTATTGGGAATACTTGGGATACTTTGAATAGGTACAATCAACTACAGGGCGTTACGTTACGTAGGTAAAGTATAGGGAGAGTGAGAGGAAAATTGAGAGAAACTTTCAGTTATCGTTTGTTTTCTTTTAAAAGAAGGAAAATTAGGGTAGATAAACACGCATGAAATTTAAGTCTGGATAACGCGAGTAGTTTTAGTTTTCATCGACAATAGGAGAAGAATGAATAAATAAATATTGACATTTATAACAATATCTGTGCACTGGATTTTATATCACGAGGCTCGAGGCGCCAGATGCAAGCAGCCGGCTGTATCTACAGGTATATACGCGTTTACTTTATTTCCTACTACTTAGGGGAAAGAAGTCTTCTGTATTTTAAAGTAATTCGAAGTACCTGTTACGCACACGATTTTGTAACTTTAATATGTCTTTATAACAGCTCTCGCGGAGTTTGCTATTCTTCATACTAAGGAGCCATTACGTTCCCTTCGAAGAGTTGCGAGAGATTAAGCTGAGGAAAATGCTTCTCTTTCGCTCTTCTCCCCTTTTAGTCTTCCCTCCTACTCGGTCTTTATGTGGATTTCCAATCTGTACACACGTTATCTTACTGCCTACAGGCGCTCCGTGCTTTACCGAAACAGTTTCCTGCTATACTAGAGGAGTACAGAAGGTTTAGAAACGTGTGAGGTATGCACGTCAGGATATTGCATACTTTGGAAATACGTCTGAATACATATGGATGGATAAACTTCAAAGATTTAATTAAAGCCTGTAACGTGTGAGCCATAATCGCTGTCTAAGTTAGGTTATGTAACTGAGGTTAGATTGTTAATCTAGAAACTTGGATTTTCTCTTGCATTATGAAATTTCATTGTGAATCTACTAGCGTCTATTGTATAGGAATTTATCAACTTGACGAGAAAATCATGAATTGCGGATGGTAGCACTGAAAAAGAATTATTTCCTTTTGCATTTTACTGTTCCGTTTGGTATTACCTTTTGTGCTGTAAATAAAGTATTCACCCATGTACCATATTATTATATGCGTATTAGTACATTACTATTCAAAACTAGAATCAAGATTTTGTATGTACGTAGGTTAGTACCTTTTCGACCGCGTTACTTTTGTGTAGTACTGTACGCATTCACGTGCACGATGGTAAATAGGATAGAACCTGGTAAATCAGTTTCCCAGATATTTTTACCTATACGCGTGCTTTATCACTGTCCTGTTTATTTTCATTACGACGTTTTCTCATTGCACCAAGAAATTACTACCGAGTTCACGATAAACGAGACGACGGATCGTAGTCTGGCTGACAGGCTACCTCTAGTGGCGCCATCTACAAGACTACAAGGTAGCTTTAACCAAAGTTGAGCGGTGCTCGACGAAGCCGTTGGTGTCATTTCGAGATTCTTTTCTTTTCAAACGGATCAACTAAGGGCGTGACGAGAATGTACGCGGAGTCAGCAGTGAAATTGACACGGGCTAGTTTCCTTTATACGGGGTATGTCACTGACGTTGAAATATACCTTTGTGTACCGAACTTCAATTTGGGTGGTCGTGTTACGTTGCTGTCTAGCGGAAAGTTCGGTATGGGATTGCAATTAGAATATAAACAAGGTAAATTTAACGTATTGAGAAATCCAGTGAGATATTAGATACGTAATAACGTGGTGATATTTATGCCTGTCGGAATTGTGCATCGAGATTCCTAGTCGACTGACACGGTGACCTTCAACAAAGGTTTGTTAAAGGATACGAATTTGTTAGATACAGTGCTCTGTTTATTTTTACATACAATTTGCAGAACAGCATCATAATAAGTTATCGTAGTTTTCATGACGTTTCGGCAATGGCTGACATGATTTTCTTTTTCTGTGATAAATTACTCAGTACAATTTTGCCTTAGTCAATGGTATATGCATGGTACGGCATAGTACATATCTGGGATTATGACGGATGTTTATTTAATTTTTCGAGTGACTTGATGCTTTCTGTAATCGAATTATAAATTTGTCGGATTGGCGGGAATGCGAAGGTTGAAAAGACTTTTTTTCCGTTACGGTTCAGTTGAACTGCCTGACGTCAGCAGTTCGGTTACTGGTCTTGAGAACGAAGGAAAAACGTTACTGAGGGCGAACTACGTTTAATCGTGGATTCAATTTCACGGTAACACGATCGTGACCGAGAATTCTGTTAGGTAATTCTGGCTTAAGGACAGAACCGGCCGTCAAGAGGCAAAGATCGACAATATTTTTGGGAAAAAGAAAATTCCACTGGGATTTGGGTGAGTTAAGAAAATCTCCTTACGCAAATACTTTGAACGTTAGATACTTATATATGTATTAGGTCATCTGGTATAAATTTTTAGTAGGTTTGAAGTTAAAACCGGTGGAGAGGATTAGACGAAATTGGCCGGAAAAACAGGCAACTAAGGGAGAGTGAATTGAATAAAAAGGTAAATTAAGGAAATTGGTGATACATCGACGCTAACTTTTTACACGCTTTTTTTTTCTTATTTTATAACTATGTCACATAATCGACCTAGATCCGCTGATTGAATTACCTGCGATACTTGAGTTTGGATCTGAATTCGTTAATGAGGTAAATCGAAGGAAACAGGAAAAATGAAGGATTACACTATATAAAATATTAAAATTGTCGTTGGACTGTTCTATATTATCGCGAGGTCATCGGGTGACGTATCATTCCACGCTTAAGTATTCGGCACTGATAAAATTGATTAGAAATTCAATATTCCTTGGCGACATTGCAAGCGGAAGGGGACTTATTCTAGAACAGCATCTTCCCATGCACTAAGGTACTTATTAATGATGGTCGCAAAAATATAAATAGAACACTGTGAGAAGTTTTATATAAGAAAAGTTGCCAAGTGCTAAAAGAGAGAGCGAGAGAGAAAGAGAGAGATCGAGGATATAGTAATAAAGAGCTACAGAAGCGTAAAGAAAACTCGAAGTTAAAGAGGATCAAAGACGTCGGTAAAAGTAGCCGACCGGATTAAAGAGTTTCCAAGAAATCATATATCCATAAGTATTAATGGTAACAAGTCAGTAAGATTTTCAAGTAAATTCAAGATGATATTTTTTTTTTCAAATTCACTCAACTCAGATATATATACCTAAGAGCTACCTCAGAAGTACCTCATTATCCGACTATCCGGCTTGAATTTGACGTCATCCTTCAGTTCCTCCATCTGTCCATTTCTAAAGTGAACCGTATATAAATCAGTGGAGCACGAGAAACTGGGACAACCCCTAACATTTATAGCCTCTGATATCATTACTACTGTGGGACTGCTGCTGCCTATGGCGTAACACAGCAGTAGAAGCCGAAGTAGTGCCGGAAGTGTCAAAGTCGCCATATAGCAGCTGAAAATGAAGGGAGGGAAAATGGGTAGCAGTCGAACCGCCATTGATACCCTCTACAAAGTCTCCTAACAATGGCGACCGATATATTTGATATCTTCATTTTTACCTGTTCCACCAGACATTCATTTCCTTTGCTTTTCTATATGAAATACTGAGTCACCGTACCTTTCTGCAAATTCATATCAATTCCCCTGCAAGAATAAAGCTCTTATTTCGATTTGTTTCAGATATTCTTCAATTTCCATCTCCCCTTCAAAATCTCCTTTCTTCTGCATCAACTTCCATTTTTCCACTGTGTTGGAAAAAGCTCTCGGCTTCCACCAGGCTACACCCTGACCACGTACAAAGGAAGTGTGCATTGTTTGATATGGAAGACAATCGTTACCGGCTTCATGGGATGAGATGAGGACAAAACAGAAGATTGATTATTCCGGATGAAAACTGCAAAGAAAAAACTAAGGTATTGACAACCCGGTAAAGTGACAAATTTATTTTCCGAAATCGACAGACTTTTAATTAATTTTTCATTATTCAAGGACATCAATATCTTCATATTGGCATAGTCACTGTTACCATACCTGTTAATATTTTTGTCTCGTATACCGTACGTACATTTTATACGGACGCTTTTAACCAAAGCATTTTTGTTTTCTTGGCTTCTGGCGTCCCCTGGTTATTTTTTGGAACCAGGTCGAGGAAGCTGCCTCAGGTATGAATATGCTCCAGGTCAGGCCTGGACTACGTACAGTCCTATGAAGGAGGGCTTGGAAGTTTGAAGAAAGAATAAAAAAAAAAGCAAGAGAGACTAGCAGTAGTAGTAGAGAGATAAAGCAAATTTCTCATTTCTCCCATGTAGCTTGCAGGTCTAAGCCACCAAGGAAGAAGGTCAGGCATCGATCACTCTCCCTTTTCTCGGATCTGTAATTTGTTTTCAGCCCTTAACCGCAACTCGTACGTTAAGTCACCCTTTCTTCGGCAAGGGTGAGAAACGGAGCCACGTAAAACGGCAAGAGAACAATTTTCTCGGTTTGTCGTCTTATACAAACGACGAAGCATCACGTTGGGCCCCTCTGACCTGGAACACAGAACCCTTGGAGAAGCCTGTCAGGAGGAATGTTTTTGGAATTTCAAATTTACCTAACACGTAAATTATCGCCCCGTCTTCCTCTCTACTTGCTGGAATCTCAAGATCTTCCCATAACGACACACCCGCCGAGCCGGTGAAAAGGGAGGACACGTTTGACAAGTAACAAAGAGGACACGTTAAAGGAACAAAAGTATACCAGGCACGACTTCAGCCAGGAAAGCTCCTAGGCTCTTGAAACGATGCTTCCTTTGTTTTCCGGAAAAAAAGAAAAGCTCCCGTTGCCATTAGACGAGAGCAGACCCTTACACGTATAGGCACATACTGCAGTCTAATAATATATCCGCTATCGTACAGAACATAACAGAAACTAGCGTTGTATATGTATCTTGAATTCTTAATGCCATTTACTTGCTTTTTCTTCAATTTTTTATCTTCTCACTTTACCGCATCAAAGACAATTCGCTTCTTGTGCTGTTTTAGATCCTGGTACCCTGTGTGTATCCGACAGTGAAGAGCCTTGCCGTAATACCCAGTGTCGGCGGCACTGCGGAACTCTCGGCTCGACGAGAACGATGGGTCGAAATTAAAAGTTTCAACGGATCAGCGCCACGCGGGTAAGCGAATCGAAACTTTTTCTCTTTTTATTTAACGAGAAACTCGACCTCGCTTTTTGGCTATTAATTAAGTGGGCTTCGGTGACGTGGATTTAATTTAACGTGACGGCTCGCTTGTGGATTTTCGAATAAAAGCAGGCATTGCTTCAGCAAGCGGAGCCAATAATTTATCCTTTGACGAGAATCTCCGTGGTCCTTGACAAACAAGGGTGTCTATTGTGTCCACAAGGTTGTTACCAGGCTCTGGGGATGAAAAGGACATAAGAGTGAAGTGGAGATTCAGGGAGTGCCGGGGCTGACGTTGCTGACGTTGACGAATAACGGAGTCAGCGTTTTGACAAATTTACATTTGCCAGAAACGTTTAATTCGTGGAGTCTCGTGTCGACCTTTGACCCGAACTAAATTCATTTCATTTGTCAGGGGTCTCGGGGAGGTCATTGATCCCTCTCCCATTTAAATCTAGAAAATAATTTTCGAAATACCCTGTGTAGTACCCTCTTGTTAGACAGTCTCGGTGAATTTGAAAAAAAAAAAAAAAAAATTTCATCCGCCCGAGGCGGTTCTCACCGACTTCCGGGAAACTCGAACAATAAGGGAAGAATTATATCAAGAGTCCAACCACCCTTATAGGGTTTTTGAATACGGTAGAATTTTATTAGAGGGTTGAATACGTCGTGAAGATGCCTATGGGGCGAAGGACGAATGGAAAACTCCGGGGTAAATAAAAACTACCCTCCAAGAGAATAAAAAGGTAGACCAGCGCCAGGAGTGTATCGGCGAATACCGGGTGACAAAAAATAATTCAGTAGGCACATTAAGTAACGCTTAATTACGGACTCGGAGAATGAACGAAAAAACACGAAATTTCATTATCGAATTAATCGTCTCCCAAGTTTGGGGGGTGCGAATGATGAACTGAAAAAATTTTTTTTTTTTTTTTTTTTTTTTTTCAAAATTCGTACAGCATCGCAGCTCCCGTTAAAAGTTTCGACCCTGGTCGAAGAACAAAGCTTTACCGATCTCGAATGGTTCGCCCTGCCGTTCATACACAATTCCATTAACTAAGTCCGTGGGATCATCAATCCTTTTCCAAGGCACTCAAGATCTGCCGACCCGATCCCTCATAGTTCTCTCGCTGATGAAAGATGCGAAGCCGTGATTTCTTTCTACAGTTGTTTATCACGCAATTTCTCATTCTGACCCCCCGGGGGCGATGGACAACTGCGCTCCGTTTACTTGGACTAGGTAGACACCCCCTGGGTCCAATGGCTTCCAATCAGGACTGATCAATCAATTAGTTACTCAGGGGCGTAACGGTTCGATTATTCTGTTGATAAGTCATGGATGTTAATTAGGCTGAATTATTGATAATGAAGTCTCGATAACAGACTGTGTTAAGTACTTCGTCATTGATCTCCATGAAAACGCATTGTGTTGCCTTAATTGTTTATCGAACACCCTGAAAGAGGGGAAGCCGATTTTTTGGATCTACACAGTTTTCCATTTCATGCTTTTCATACGGAATTAATTTACCACGTGTATTGAAGTATCGAGAAAAAAATTGCGAATTAAAAAAAATCCATCCGTTCTCCAAGGGCTGAAATCGACTCCGTCTATACTGTCAATTAATTCTATGGACTTGTGGCATGCAACGAAAATTGCATAGAATATATATATATATATATATATATATTTAATTATCTCAAGATCGTATAGCTAAATGCTCACTATCGAGAATTAAGGGCGGATAATTACCCAGACAATTTCCCTGCTCTAGTTTCATTATTCTGTTACGCGGAAGAGTTGCGGGTCGGTGGGTTCGTAATTAAGGGTAGTTCGTACAGGGGTGTGAAAAAAAAAGTGTATCGTTGGAGGAAGATGGAGGGGAAAAAATTTGTCACTCATCTAGCAAAGTGTTTTGCTTTTCTTTTTTATTGCCGGATAAGGGTGGAGTTTTGTGTATACGTAATCTCAACCGTGTCTACGAAACAAGATTTTATACAGTTTATTTTATTTTTTTCGCACCCTGGCGAAATGTCCAATTAGCTGAACGCTGTAATCACACCTGAGGGTGTGACCAATTTTTTCGAGGGGTCATAGAAAGTAAGTAGTGGAGGGACTATGGCGGTGGAAGTCGGGATTTAAGGTCAGGGTGCAAAACGTAGATCATTTCAAGGAAGACGATGGCTTACTTAAGCACGAAGGGTTGTTATTCCCTAGAAATGAATATTTCTCATGTATATTTATAAATTAATTCCTTTATTTTGTTAAAAGCTATATATATATATATATATATACAAAGTTTTTTAATTTTCTTTCGAACCAGATGGAAAAAAAATGTCATGTCCTTACATGTCCCGAATTCGTCTTGAAATCCTCTAACAGACTGGAGTAAAAAGATTATATGTTCAGTTGCAAAAAATTGAAGGTAACCTTGAAAAAACATTTAAAAAAAGAGTTGACCAGTAATTTTTCACTATCACGTTAAAGCTCTCTTGGAACCATGCAAAAGCTGATAAAAATCATTATCGATCGGACTGCTAATAACAAAGTAATCTCTACTGATCACGATTCGTGATTCACCCTGTATATACCATGAATTTAATTTCAACCGATCTTGTAAACTTTTTCAAAAACACTTTATATTTAATTTGGAGATTTATCCAGTAACCACGTATACCTATGGCATCCCTTTTACTACCTACTACATATGACTATCAGAAAGTACAATAGAACTAATATACAGGTATACATTATATATCCCATGGGTATTAACCCTTTTTAGTTGACATAGTCTCTCCAACCACTCTCCCTCTGTTCCAATGTCATATATTTACTCTCGCATAATTTTTTAATGTCTCGTATGACGATACATAGGATCACTTGGTACATGTACGTAGTGAATTATGATGATTATATTATAAAGACAATTATGGTAGATATGTTCGACGGAGTAAAGTTAATTAATGCAAAAAGCACGGGCAGTGCTATTGTTGTAATAAAATTGAAAAACAAAAATATCTTTACAGGGACCACAAATTTTATATTCTCATTAGCCAAGAATTCCGGGCAAAAATTGTATGGGAGAAAATAATTCTAAGTAAATCTAGACGGTAGGACCAATGGCCGCCATTATGAATATGCAGACACTTAGTCATGTACGAATTAATTATTTTATTATGCTGTATCGAAATTAGTATAAGCCGGTCGCGGTCACTGCTTCTCAATGTAAATTCACCGAGGGGCGAAGAGCTTGCCAGGTTTTATTGAATTTAGGTAAACTAGAAACTTCATCAAGGGAATAAGTTGTGTATCTTTATCCATGTTGAAATTTATTGCTATGATCAAAGTTGAACTTCGTTAAGATTTTGGTATTTTTATAAAACTTCCGGCGTTGCGACATCTGTAGGCCGACATGATATGTAATTATGAAATGTTGAATATTGTACGGTGGGACGTTATCGGAAAAATTAAGTCGTCAGCTGACGCCCGTCAGGACGTCGAATGAACGTTGAACTCGTCGACGAGGTCAGAGCGTTATAGGACGTCGAAGGTGGCGGCCAATGGGAAAAGGATCGCTTGATAAGTTACCCGCGATAAAGGGCTCAATGGTTCCTGAAATTCTTCTAGGAACATACCTCGGCAGTCTGCATGTAATTGATGATCCAATAAAAGCATAGACACACGAGGCAAAAGAGATTTTGGTGGATTCTCAAAAAAAGATTAGACAAAAATTCATCGTGTAAAATGAGCGTTATATTTATTTTTAAAATTGATACGACGATGGGCATATAAAAATTTTAAAAATAATTTTTTAGTCGTCTTTTTTTTATAAAATTTATTTTCGAAATTTTATTCCTACTAGGTGGGAGCGTCAAATAAGCGAAAAGAGGGATGCACGGTGGATAGGGTGGTTGGATACGAACAAGGGCTGCTAATAATCAATTATGACGCAACTTCATTAATTTCAGTTGCAATCGAAACAGAACGAAACTTTCGTTAAAGCAGTGGATGCCGGGAAATAATAAATTCGAGTATCGGGAGACAGATTCGTCATGGCAACTAGACAGATTCGTTTGCGTATGTTTGTATATCCCTGGACGAACGTACGAGCCAAGGTTTCAGTTAGCTGTATGCACGTAATTTTTTGAATAAAAAAAAAAGGGAACGAAATTAAAGCTTACAGTCAAAGCAAAAAAGTGTCTGGTGGGTCGCGTCACGTTCGTTTAAATAAATGTATTTTTGAGTACATAGGACAATGTTGGACGTACCTGCCGCGGGCGAGGATGAATTTTTAACAGGCTTCTGGTAGATCCTATTGGAATTTCAATGACGGCTGTAGATTCCGTTGATATCCTTTTTGAATTTGAAGAAACTTTTTCATAATTCCCGAGTAGCCTTAACTCTTGTTTTTACACTGTTGGGATACCTGCACGAGTATTACACGTACTTTTACAACGTTACAAAGATTTCCCTAGGGACTGTTTATATTGACGGAAGGAAAAAAAAAAGTAGATTCTTCTCCATCTCAGAAAATAGTATTATTGTCGCGCGTCAATTGGACATTTTGTATTTTGACGATTTCGTAATTGCCACGAAATAAAAAAAAATGCGGTAAAAGCGGTTACGTCACGAGATCTCCTTTCGTACTGTGGTAATATTTATTCCCTAGTCCGAGTGATAGTCACGTACTCGCGTAGGTATAGGGATTTTGGCTCCTTCCCGAAATCCCATTTTGCAAATGTTCCCAGGAGAAGTAACAGGGTATGCTGGCTAGGTGCCAGGAGAATGAACTTTCGTAAATCCTCTTTAGGAATGATCAATTATCCGCGAAGCTTTATAGAGGCGGCTTTCGAAAGAAATACCCTTATCCGTTTTATAAACTCGAGATTGAACTTTCGTCGCGTTGGTACGTGAAACGGAATGAAAATTGTATGAAAACGTTTTAATAATAATAATGGAGAAAATAAAGAAAATCAACGATCCCTCGTGTCCCGTTACGAATACCAGGACGCGTCACGTTCACGCTGCTCGACGGTTCTCGGCAAACTGAGGGATTCATCGATGAGGTTGGTATCTCTTCGTTCGTGCAAAAGGCCGGGAAGGACGCTTGCGCGAATTCGTGTGTTTATGCGGTCCCTAAATATTCGCAACCCTACCTTCTTCAAGCCTTCCCCACCATCAACCCCTCCAGGCCATAGCGTGCGCGAACTGAATCCCGCGAAAGTGGGTTACATTAAGCTAGGTTAAGAAAGTGACGTGAGAAACTCGCTCTGACACGTAACAGCAAGATTTTTGTCAACGCCAGCTATCCAACGCTACCAACGATTCAACATGGACCAGGATTCTGCGCACAGGTAATATTTACTCTGTATCTCTGTAAATCTTGAAAATTTACTTACCGCCAAACAATGCGCCATTCAAAAATCCCGCCAAAACATGACGCAACGCTAAAGGGTCACGCAACACATCAAACTAAAGAACTTCACTGTACACTTATCACTCGCTGTATCATTATAACTTGCTTCGTTACGTTTATTCACATTATCAATACCACAGAGTCCTCGCAAATACGAGATTACGCGTCTGATGGTTTTCGTGCCGAAACGTAAATCTACACACAAGGCTTCACGCCATGTTTTGTCTACCGCAAACCACAAACCACGTGACCTCATCGTGCTTTATCCACTGGAATTATCGTTGATCTTTCTTACGCGAGGGTCTAAGCCTTATTCAAGTTTAATCGAGACAATGAGTGTATCAGACATTGTCTAGCACACACCATAACCTCTGAGGATAGCGATGCACGAGCACGTTTCATCGTGTACATCAATTACACTGCGCGAATTGTAACTGCCTGGTTGTATGTACCTATGAGCTACACTATTATACAGTTGACTGTACCATAATACACTATACTCTTGTCATATATACAACCACGTCAAGCACCGATTTCCAGCACAAGCACGTACTCCATGTTCGAACAATCCAAACTGCCATTTAAGACGAGCCTGAACTACGTAGTAACCCGATGGTAAACTGCACTGACGAAAGACAGATGGCGCTTTAACTGCGGAACAAGGTTACGATGATCTACGACGAAAGGGAATAATTCCATCGAAATAATACATCGATTATCTGGCTGTGAATTCGGCGATAATTTATAATCCAATCCAATTTATAATCCAATAGTGCTGCTTCCATTATCGTCTAATTGTGTAATGCTAGTCGTATTAGTAATCAGGTTAGTGATTCACGGTTCTCTATACGTTAACGTGTTACTTCACGATTTCCTTGTCCGGACAGACATTGTCAATGGGAATAAATAATTACTGCGTACAGTATCAGTTGAAAATCATATAAAAGACAATTAACTATGTCAATAAAAAATTCATCCCTTGATCTTATACGTGTCAGGGTACGTTTGCTGGAATCCAAATGCTTTTACCCGTAATTATACCTAAATACGAATAGTAATGGCTGCTATAAATTCACTTAATCTGACTGTCTCTACCCTTGTTCACATACGCACGGCAGTATGTATCACATGTGATCCATTAGAAACAAGTGGATATACGTCGCCAGGCGGGACACGTGCGCTTAGTAGAATAATATTTAAGGGTGTCCTTTATTTTTTTATCACCATATTTCTTTTGCTCCTCAACGTACGCAACTGATATTCCGTTTTCGTACAGGCAACAGGCTTAATGCTACAGGAGTGCCGAAAAGGGATGCATGCAAAATTCATTTCGCCACCCTATATATTTTCGCTTATTTTCTCCCTAGATCTACGGAGGAAGAGAGAGTGACAGAGAGACTAACCCTTCTCGGGTCGACCCTCCAGCATTTACCATACGATTTCTACCCCGGATGTGACAAGGCACATTGGCGCCCATCCTAATGCCAGGGCCGTATCTAGTGGGTGTATTTTCGTGGAACGAAAAAAAAATGCCAAATTTTTTCATTAAAGCACAAACATCTCGCTGATAAGAATGACGAGTCTGATATGATTCTCATTATATATGTGTGTTACAGGTAATTTTAGTTGGTAATTTTATCGGAAAAGAAAATATCTGCGTGCAAGAATATAGGGATCTGAAATTTATATACGGATATATATATATCGTGTGTGTTTGACGTATGAGTATATCGAGCTACAAGATACGGGCAGGTATGCACGTACTCGGCGCTTTAGACAGCATTGGCAGCCATTGAAATTCAATTTTCAGCATTTTCCGATATCCGCTCTAAACTGCGATATAACCCTCTGACGTATACGACGTATAGTATCATGGTTTCGGTCCATTACCTGTGTGTCACGTGATGAGCTGCAAAAGGATTTGTAATAAAAATTATAGAAACGAGATATCTCGGGTGAACCTTGAAATAATATATAGGCCAGTAGATGTATATATAAAATTATATATATTCCAAAAATATTTAACAATACTATTTATACATAGATAATACATTTTATATATGCATACGTTATTCTGTATGTAGAATTTCTCATGAAAAAAAAAAATATTTGATTTTTAATCTATTCTGATTTACCTACCGTATTTACTTAAATAATTGATTTATAATTGTATCGTATTCAAATATTTATTGATAAATTGGATACTTCAATTTTTTACAGTAAATACATTATCTCTCGCGTTTCATCAGGATTTACAGAAAACAGACATTTTTTTTCACTTATCATGCATCTCACGAGAATCTGCTTCCGTCGGCTGTCGATATCTCAAACTGAGGCTATTTATATATCCAAGATTTCTCGCACTTTCCCTTAGTTAAAAAAAATTTCAAAAGAAATTCCTAATCGTTCTCTCTTCACCTCCAGTACGAACCCCGAAAATCTTTTACCTGCTCCTCTTCTTGGAGATAAAGGCAATCTTGAGTAAATTGACGACCGGAGCTTCCAGTGCTATTGATATGCAAAAGGACAGTATATAGGAGGCAACGAGATTGCCAAAATACACAATGAGCTGCAAACAAAATCAGGAAATGAATACACGTGTCCATCCGTCAAAATGAGTTTGACAGGTAAGCTAAATCAGATAAACAAACAAAAGAAATACTTCCCCATAAAAAATTCACTCACCACCAAACCGTTGTGCAGGTGGAGCGGTCCATCCATCTGAGTGCTGGTTATCAACATTATCACAGGATGAACCAGATAAGCGCAATACGTAAGTCTTGACAGTGGATACATAAGTCTAAGCGACAGAAACCTGTCGATCAAGCTGGCAGATCCAGTGCAGCATTGTATTACTATAAAGGCTACGGCCAATGACCAGGCTGTGTGTCCCAATGATGCGTATATCGAGCTAACGAGGACATTTAAATTTCCAGGGTAGAGGCCATACACCACTGAGAACATGACAGTGGCAGAAGACAGCCAGCCGAAGATCTTCACGTACTGAAATGAGATTTGAAAATGTTAAGGATGCTGGATCCAGTGGACAGGACGTATAAGTTAAACAGACAAAGTATACGTTTAAGTAAATAAGTACTTGCCAGTGGAGTTTCAAGTTTGCAATTACTCTTGAACAGTAGATAGCCTGTTATCGTGCCTATGAAGTAGGGTCCAGCCCTGAGCCAGGGCTTGTCGTACAACTCGTCAAAGAGTGCGAAGGGTTCTTGAATTCTTAAAATTCCAAAATAATTTCGAATTTTTGTATACTATTGATTTTTGAAATTTTTACTTTTTTTCAATTACCTAGCCATGTAGTCGTTACTGTAGGCTACGGTGAAGGTTGTGAACCAGGATGAGATTATTATCAGGCCGACTGTTGTTACCACAAGTTTTAAGTACTTGACTGATAGTAGTAAGAGGAATATACCCAGTACGTAGAACTGAGTGTCGTTGGCCATATACCAGCTCCATAGCATACACTGTCAAATCGTTTCATTAGATTGTCATTGTTCGAAATTGCTATTCTAACTTTGCCGGTATCGACGGCTTTGAGCTTTACTAAGGGAGAACTATTGATTGTCAATTTAGGGGGGGCTCTTGGTACCATTAGAATTAACCGCTGTTTTACTTATACTTGCTATTTGGATATCTAAGTGTGGACCGATACTCTCGAATTGATCGTTACGTTACTTTCTTTAGTGGCAGATGGAATTAATTATTGGAAAACGTTTGGAGCACGGACTCGAGCGTCCCTTACGTTTTGATCGTATTTCATAAATTTATTCATGTATATGCACATTATACCCGGCAGAACGGTACCAAGAAAATTGAGGAAAAAAATCACGTAGAACCTCGCCTGATACCCTTATCACTTATAGATATTTGATATATATATATATATATATATATATATATATATATATAGACATTGAGGTCGCGGCAGGCATTTTTAAAAATAATTCTTACCATCTCCGTACGTGGATACAGGGAATTCAAATAGAGGGCGTTACGCCACCAAAATTTCTCACAAGTCAGATGATCCATAATAGCTGGCGAAAAAACAGTTTTAGCCTGCGCCTGTCTCATTGCAATTTCATTCATACCCAGTACGTATAGATAGGCAGGAGTGAGTCTGTATAGATTGAATAAAAAAAAGAAAAATTTGTTAATATCATTATCACAAAACAAAAAAAGGCAAAATCTAATCGCTCACTAACCTCACGAATCTATAGAGAATCATAATAAAAAATTTTTTCGCGCTCGTCCTTAGAAAATTTTTCTTATCAGTCTTCAAGCCTCCCAACGATCGATAGTACAGTATAGTCACCAGAAGACCGCTAAGGAAAGAAAAGGTACCGACCTTGAACAGTGTTGTATTTTAAAAAAAAAAAAATATTAATTTTCAAATTTATTCGTTTACCTGATAAAGAAAAAAGTGTCCACCGAGAACGTAGCGTTGCTAATAGTCTGAAACATAAAGTTCCTCTCGGTGACGGTGCGAAGTGTTTTGTTCTCTGAAAGCACACGAATAATTGTTGGTGAGAAAAATTAAATCGCTTTTCGAACGTCCTTACCGCCGCGGCTAATCCAAGACAATACAAGATGAAAATGGTCTTACCAGCTATGGAGAAAACCTGGAGATAAGTATGGACCATGACTACCCATCCAAGAGAAAAAACACGTAAACCGTGGAGACAAGTGAGACTGTCACGTGCGGCAGGGTCAGTGCTGATTATCTTGCCGCCATTAATGGTGGGACTGAACGCCAGGAGACACCTTATCCAGAAGCCTGATTGTATCCGGCCGTAATAACACCAGTCGAGGATAATAGCGTTGCGCAAAGGATAGAACCAAAGAAGATGAAAAACAAGAGGGAAATATGATACGCGAAGAAGTAAAAAAGCGAAAGAGTAATTGAAAATTTAATATCGTTCGGATCAAACCTTTTTCACGCTTCTCGGCTTGACGCTCCGCCAACGCTGTCTTGTTTATTTTCTCGATCAATTCCTTCCCGTTGTCCTGGACTATCGAGATCCTCCTCTCCTCCGAACAATTCCTGTCGGGATACGTGCTGATCCTCTCGTTGTTGTTACTCACGTTTGACGTCTCGAGATCCGGATCCTCGGTGTCGTTTCTGTAGTGCTCGTAGAGGGTCGCGCCGATCATCAGGAGGAGCACAGCGGCGCCGACGGCACTGAAAGTCGAGAGAGATCGATTTGCAAAAGCCTCGAGCCTTGGAAGAGGTTCCTTTGAAGAGCCAATTATAAATATTGAATTTATAGATTTTTTATATATGGCGATATGCCTTATCAAAAGTCCAGCCCTTATCGATAACGATAAACAGGGAGCCTGTCTTGGGGTGACTATTCGCTACCAGGGCAATTGTAGGACTCGGCTGATCCTTGGACCAAGTGCCTGAGCTATGCAGCAAGGGTAGTGGCATTCCATGGGGTTGCTATGGGAATTCAGAATGCGTTTGCAGGTACAGGGAACGTTGAGCCGTTGGAGTATAGCGTATTAGAGCATACGGAGTCTTTGTGATTGGTGGAAGATTAGGGGTGATTATGGTTAATGATTTTTTTTTTTTTTTTCTTAATTAGCATCCACGGATACGTTTCGTATTAAAAATTCTTTCCCTTAGTTTTAATTAAGAAAGTTCATTTGTTGCTATTAAAAATCTCCTTGGTTTATCTTCGCGTTATATCTTAGTATGCTGTAAAATGTTTCAGTGCCGCTGGAAAGGCACCAATTCCGGGCTCGGGATTTAGCCAAGGGATCCTACGCGTTCGGTAAGCGCCAAGAAGATGGGTAGCTAAGGTATTAAGTGCGCCATTGTTTCGACTGACGGTGTCTATAGTCACGCCGTTGTTATTCGCACGGCGTAACTAGGTTAGATAGACACTTGCTTTTAACTGTCATAATAATCGTTGCTGCTTCGAAATGGTGTCACTGTGCCGTTCTTGTGAAGGAAAATGGATTTAAAAGAAATCTTAAGTTTTAAGGCGTTTTTCGGGAGCAGTGACTACGGATTAAATGGATCACGGGACAAAGTGCTCTTGACAAAATTATTTACCCGCTTTTCAGCCTCCGCAAATACAACGGACCATATATCTTCTCCTCTAAGAGATAATCGATGACGAGGACACATCTGTTAGGTAAATAATTACCGTTCCTTAAATCATCCCTTAAGCCCAGGTCAATTAGAAACTGAACCACGATTTCATAAGAAAATACTTTTATCCCCATCGTGAAAAGTCTATTAAATGGGAAAAACGCTTGAAACTTGAAAATATATATTTCAAATTTCCCGCCGAGTCTGACAGCCCTTTTAAAATTAACCGCCAAACGGAATTCGATAGTCACGTGACGCGCGCCACAGTACGATCTGACGTCGTCAAGTGCACTCAAGAAGTAAACTTAAACTTTCTACAACGAATGTCCAACGAGTACAGTCCGTTTTGACATAAATAAATGGGTCAATAATCGCATATAACACGTAACGGGTTATTCAACCCAAACGTCTGAACCCAGCGCGCCCATTTGATTCACGTAGTAAAAACAACGTTCGGCTGGCGAGGTTAGACCGAATAGCTCGGTATACCAGTGTCAAGACTATAACTAATAAATTTAACCTACGAAATCCTTAGACCGCGAATTGCACAATTTATATTTTTCATACGAGATTAATATTTACCAGCAACCACCGGCACAAGCAACGTTATACCGCATGCGTAATATTCCCGGATCTTTAACGACCTCCCGAGGGAATATTTGCCTAGCACGGAACACGTAGGTGGTAGGATATTACTCGTGCTGGCGGTCATAACTTTACGGGATACCATAGCACCAGCGTAGATACGGCTAGCTGAGTTTTATGGCGTTAAAGCTTCAGCAGGTAGGCCAGTTATCAATAGCTGACTATACGCGTATATAGGCACTGACTATTATGACGTAACAGAAGCCAAATGTTTACAAACGAGCCCGTACACGGTATAAGCCTATAGAAATTCATACGAGTGTCCAATCGGAATACCTATGTACTCTGTGTTCAAGTTTCACGGTTACCCATAATGCACGGTCATTATCTACAGAAGGTTAGGTACTTTATGGTTTCCGAATGAAGTCATTTTCTACGCTCGCTATTCGCGTAACCAACTGACCGTCTGTGCGCAACAAAGACCTATTGAAATTTGATACTCGAACGAGATCGAACTATTTTATATGTTCACGGTGGTCGTGATGCAAAAACACAAGGTACTGTTTGCCCAAATATTATTATTATTACCCACCTTAAAATCTATGGTTAATCACTACCGAATAATGTACGTCGATGCCCATGATGCACCTGCGCAAATTCCCACGTACACGTGTTCGGGTTTATCGTATACGAAAGTCGCTGCGTTAATGAGAAATTTACCCACGTGCAGTGTTCGAGTTAACAAGGGATTGCCAAGCTTTTAATCGGGGTGTTCACTTTGTCGGTAGCCATGAACATTTCTACCCTGGGAATTTGTCGTGCCCGAAGGCAGCAGCGGTCTTTTTGATTGATATTAATTTATAAAAAATTTCATATCAAAATTCAGATATTTAGAGTTTTACGTTTTATTTTAATTTTACTCTTTTTTTTTCATTTTCTTTTTTTGACTTCTATTTTTTTTACCACCCAATGATATACGGCTAAAGCTCTCCCGTGGCAGTGCTCCAGTGAGCTTAACGGGCAGATGTATCATAAGAATGACAAAGCTACAGGACCGTAAAGCCGTCTTGGTTAAATCCCACGGGATTCGAATGTGGCTATAAGAAAAAAAAAAAATTTCAAAATTTTTTGGTAAAACGTAAAAATACTTATTTGTCATACGCGAGGAGTCGATGCTCTATATAGATACGAGAAACGAATGCGAAATTGATAAATTTATTTGTTTCAGGTAAAAAGGACAATTTGCCAATTTACGGTAACGAAATTCACTGACGTCTAGAACGGGAATGCAGTTGATAGTGCACTTTCACTAGTGGACTTGAGGCTTTCTATAATCTTGCGTAATACAGGGACAACGTGCACCGGTTACACTCTTAAGTAAGGTAACAATATATATATATACATACAAATATACTATTATATTACACATGTGGGTGCAAGCATATATCTATATATCTATCTGTAACATGCATTCGTATATACATGTATATACAGCAAGTAAAACCATCAAGAAAATTGGGTCACTATTTCATCGAGCTGACACTGGGGGATGGACATTTTCAATTTTATTAGAATGGCGACCCTGACAGTATTACCAATTCCCTATCAGTTTTATCCCACTGACGAATTCGACTGGTCAGATCGGCTCTTTGAATTTAACTAAAAAAAATCTAATTACTGTAAATATTAGCAGCTGAGTTCCTGCCGGTCACCAAAGTTACACCAGTTCGTAAAATGACGTGTAAAAGCCGCAGGTAATTTTCCATGGACTTTGTAATCGTTACAAAGATCGTCGACTTGGCGACGAACATTAGACTGTAAAATAAAAGGTCGCCCATCGCTCGTATAATAATTTACGCTGGACTCGTAATAATGATAATTAATAAAAGAAAAACTCGTTAACCAGAACGATATAGATTGTAACTCGCCTTGAACTGTATATAAAATCAAGTAATTCTATTCGATAGTCATAATGTATACATTAGTCTATGCCAATTAACTAAAACCAAACGACAGCTATTCAAATCCTCGAGTATTTCCCGCCTAAAATCCGTTTCGATAAAATTTACCCCGGATTATTACGCAATGCTTCTATTTCCCCGTTCCAGCAGCATTAATCCGACCGCCAAGTAATATCCCCAATTCGTTACCGGCAAAACGACTCGCTACTCAGCCCAATTAGCAAAGGTAATTAGTCGAGGAGTAAACGTTCCCTCGTATTAGATCATCGGCCATTGCCAACCCGGTATCGCGAAATTTTTTCCATAGACACGAAGTATCGTAAGGGATGAAAATTTATATTTTTTTTTTTCGCAAGAAATAAGTGTACCGGAAAAACGGCGGGAATAATTTGAAATTCAAAAGAGGTACCGTTCGAATTATCATAAGGTATGCTTTCGTCCTGTTTTATCGAACGTATATCGATACCACGCGAGTCATAGAATCGATACGTGAAACTTCGAGGGGATTTTTTTTTCTACAGAATAAAAATGGCCGACCGCCTCGTGACGTCAGTCAATAGTCCCCAAGCTGCTTACGTCCCGGTGTGGACGTGAGTAATGCAAATCGGGGCTGCGCAACCACCTGAACCATTTACCCGGTGTGGATTAGCTTAAAGGCAGGTTAGTAGATATACTCGTTAACGCTATATACTCCTGTCCTCGTTTGTATCCTCGTGCTCTTTCTTTGTCTTGATCTCATTTGCTCTTTTTTTGTTCTTTGTTCACTTTTCTTTTTATACCTTCTCTTTTCTATACTTCGACCCTCGCGAACGCGTTGAACGTTTCACTTTGTTTTTCCTTGAGCTGTCTTGAAGAAAAATTTGTAGCTTCCTATATATATATATATATATATATATACTAATCCATAATGCATCCCACATAACGCGTGTCCACTATGTTGCTACTGGTGTTGTGACCGTGTTAAATTGTGCAATATAGATACGGCCTATCCATACCCTAATCCATAATGCATCCCACAT